AATTTTCTTAGTTATTGCTATTACTCTCGGATTTTGGCATTTATTTTTTGAAATTCGACAATTTATATATTCGCCACTAGAATATTTCGCAACTGCTTGGAATTATTTTGGTAATATTTTGTTTATTTGGAATAATTGATTTATTTATACAGTTTAACGATTTTTAAGTTCATTTATGTTTTTTTTCTATTCAAGATCTTTGTGCCATATTATCTTCTATAATAACATCAATTCTATGGTTATATAATGGCAGTGCTCCATCATGGGCTATTACCTATTCAACACTATTTCTTGAATTAAAATTTATTCTTTATTTTAGAGCTACATCATTCGTTGGTGTTTATTTTGCTACAATTATTGGAGTTGCACAAAGTGCATTTTCCTTTTTGGTGTTATTGGGATTTATCTTGTTTGCATTTGCCCACTCGTTACATCTTTTATTACGACCTGAAACTAAAGTGTCTCTAGATTATCCAAGTTATTCATCTGATCCAAATGATCCTTGGAATTTGGCTACAACATATAATTCAATAGCTTCAAATAATACTATTGAAGAAAGTGCATCACTTATTGAACCACCAGATTCAAATACAAATATGTTTATGTGGTTTGATTCATCGATTTTGGCAGTTTATATAATGCTTACAGGTAAGTTATTTATATATATATAATTTATACAATTTGAGTAAATTTTGAGTACATTAATATAATAATAATTTAATATAGGCGATTCGAGCCCCCTTTCGTCTTGGGTTTTACGTGAAAATTATCCATTAGTTATAATAATGGTTTTATTTTCATTTTTCACGACAGTTTATTTAATGAACCTGTTTATCACATTACTTGGTAATGCAATTGATGAAACGACCAACAAAGCAGCTTTTTTAACATTAAGAGCAGAGGTACGATATATGTACAAACTCATGATCATTGTTATTTTTTATGCACACCTTGAATGTGTGCCAGGTTTGTGGCGCAGATGTCCTGAACTACGAATCAGATTTCAAGATCAGGTGTAACGTAACACGATCAAGAAGATTCAAAACAAACGTTCGTTTCGTCAGAAATCGCCTATTTCTTGAAAATCTGCATAGGAAATCACCTTTAGTGCTTTAACAAAAAGTTTTCGCTAGACAATTTTACAATATAAACACCCTTCCTAACCCTAACCCGAACCCTAACCCTAACATAAACGAACTTCGAAGAATTTTTTGCTGCGCCACAAACCTGGCACACATTCAAGAAAAGCATTTTTAGGGATAGGGGTTAGGGTTAGGGGTTAGTTTTAAAGTAAAGTTATAATAAACAAGTATAAGTGGGTTAACAGGTTGAGTAGAAAATGTAGATTTCATTTTAAATTATGATCCGCGACATTTATTATTCATAAACCCGAACTCATTAAAGAATCTACACTATAGTTGTGACCTGAAACCTTTCCGAAACCTTCAAATTAGAATGTTAATAACTAATGGACATTTACTATAAAGTAACAAAAACGTTCTTGAAACGCAATCTAACTATCAGATACTTTAAGTCTCAAAGTTTAAAATTAAATTTCTAAGCCTTTCAGTATAGTGATAGAGTTTCGGAGGGATTTTATATATAGTTTCGGGTTGCGGGTCACAACTTTAAATTTGATCCACACCTGAATTCATATGAATCCATATTTACTGTTTTTATCACAAAATTAAGTTTAATTAAGTTTTAAAATCCTTATATTCAAATGTTGTAACAAAAGCATGATTTTCAGACGGGATATTTGGCATTTTCTATATAGGATTTATTATCACTGATTAGAGTTTGGAAACCGGTTTTAACATATGAAAAATAAAGAACTCTATCACTGATTATAAAAGGAAGATTACATTTCGTAAATACGACGTTAGTGCCCACGGCCTGATTGTTACATAAGTATTGCCCCAATTATTTCAATACTGCAATAAGTGTAGTGACAAGTTATTATGTTTACGTATCTTATTATTCGTATTGGTTTAATCAATGCAGATAATTTCTTATTCAATTTCTTTATGTTGATCAATCGAATTATTTGTTTACATTCAATTTTTTTGTATTGATTTAATTGCTATTTCAATCGGTTATTCAAAGATAAGCTGACGCTTATTTAATGACACCGAGGGGAAACCATATAAAATTTATATGATCGAAGTCCGGATTTTTCTTGGTGCCATTCATATATTATTTACTTCTCACTTAATTTATTCTTATACACGTTGACATAGCTTATGATCTATTCATTTCTTATTTAATTTCTTTTTATTTATAGTTAATAGTCGTTTATCAAAATATTGTAATTTCAGTATACAGTAGTCGAAGTCTTAAAATAAATTAATCATTTTCATTTAATTGTATTAAGTGAGTATTAGAGATCAACTAAAATAATCTATTCATGCGCTCATAGATATTTACTGTAGAGGTGGAAACAACAATTATACGGCAGCAAGTTTCTTTTACCAGAGTTAGTGTCACTCGCACAGTAGCAGCATATGGAAATGACATTAACTTCATAGAAAAAAATGTAAATCGATATTTTTCTTACAATATTGTGCACTTAGATAATTACTTGACGGATATATCGCATATCAGATACTAAAATTCAGTGTGAAAAAGTAATCAGTTGAAGGGTAGAGTAATCGGTTAGACGCAAATTCTTCATGTGAATTTATCTAGTATGTCAAGTTTATAATTACCTCTACTTTTTTAGGTTTTCGTTCCTGATTTGCGCGATAACGTCTCGCAGCTATCTAAAAAAAATTCTTTATTTGTTACAAAATGGAAAGTTCACATTATGATTTTATCAATTAATCTATAAAGAGTGTAATGCAATTTGGAAAATATATAGATCGCTAAATTGATATGAATAAATTGAATCTAATGAAAGATTTAAGAGTACAATGACTATTAAAAATTGCATCCCGTCCAAACTAATAATTAGATATGATGAGCAGCGACATACCAAATATTGATAATGAAATATTCTTATTAAATCAATTCATATGTCTCGTAAAAAATCAGGTAAAAACTAAAAGAAGCTCAAAATATTTCGTAAATCTAGATAAGAGACTAACTAAAAGCTAAAAAAAAGGTTCATAGAATGATTAACGTACAGTACATACTGCATACGGTAAAGTATATACGTACGTACATTATCGTTATTGAATCTTATATTTAAAATAAGTCAAATTATAGTAAATTCTAAAAAGGTTCGGTAATCATTATCTAATCAGTTCAGAAAATCGACCATCGACTTTGGTTTTTAGAATCGATCCCCATCCCTATTTATGAACTTTTTTGCTGTGTTTAATTTCAGGTCGTAATTATTAGTGAATCAAATTCTCTAGAAAGAATGGTAATTTTTATAGTAAGAGAGCAAGTAATAGTTATACCTTGGCAATTGAATATAAGAAAAATACAGTGTATTTGATGTGTTGGCAGATCTAGCAACCGATACTTTTTTAGTAAAATATTTATGACATGATCGTACCCGAGTTTATTAATTTTCCCACCACTTCGCTATTGGAAGTATCATAAAATTGATTAATAAGGTAGTTACTCCGATATATGAATAATTAGTAGAACCAATCGAGTGATAGGATTGGTAGGAAAAATTAGTAAAATAAGTTAGTCGAACTAGGTATGGATGTAAATCATCATCGTTATGTTACAACAAGGATGTAGATCATTATTTCGGTGTTTTTAGGATAGCTTCCTTCTGATTGGTCAATCGTTTTCCATTGTATTTATAAAGTTTAATGAATGTAATATTCCATAAGTAAAAAAAATAAAAATTAAACCCATCTCTATCTTCGAAGAAATACTAATAGTTACTATGCAATTTCTATGTATATTGTAACTATAAAACTATGTAATTACTCGACCGTTAAATATAGCTGAGTTATTGAAAAAAAAAAACTAATAGTACAAACTTTTTTTAAAAATAGATAAAGCGATTTATAAACCATGATGAAGAAGTTTTAAAACATTAATACATAAGTTATAATATATGAGTGTTTAAAAACGTTTTATATGTCTACAGGCTCTAACGAGTCTTATCATAACGCGCTCTGTGTATAATAAACAATAGATCTTTAAACATTATATTAGTTCAGTATTAACGGTGCGGTAGGTATTTAAAAAATATTTTTTGTTAAAGTGATAAGCGATAAGTTTGCTATAATGTAATTTGATTAGTTAGTTACACAATGCCAATCATAACTTATCAACCAATAAATTCCAAATCTACTTAAATTCCGTTCCCACTTGCAGCATATATATATTTTTTTTCAAACTTTAAGAAACTTTCCCAATATTAGCCTAGGCTTTCGATGTTTAGTATCATTTGGGCAAGGTGCTGAAAAAAAGGACGAAATTGACAATTTTTTTAAAATTTTGTAGTATAGCTCTTTTTAAAGTTTGTATTTTCTTATGATTTATTATAAGATTTATAATATAAAAATTGATTTTCCTAAGATCTTTTTTTTTTGTCAATTTCGTCCCTTTCGCAGCACCTAGCCTATTTTTGAATTCTATTAGCTCGTATAATCTGAAAATAGCTTCAAATATCAAAATGGACAAGACATTATTAAGATACTTTCGCTCAAGGTTTGTAAAGATTAAGTGAATAAGCTAAACCTTTTATCTAGTTATAAAATACTATTTATTTATTTATTTTTTAATTTTAAAAGGTGAGGCCATGCCTCTAACTTTATTGAAATTCAATTGAATTTCTTTACATGAAATATATACAGGAAAGAAATTACATTTGAACGTCATGTCCAGAGGATACTAAGATTAGAAACTCAGACACAATGTTATATTAACATAATTATCTGTGGCCTAAACCTAAAACTACTATTTATTTTAAGTAGCAATTCGTAAAATCAATAGTAAATTAAAAGGTTTTACAGATTTTTGCGTTATTGTATTGTAATTTATTGTAATTAGTATTCTTACAATTTCAGAAGATGTTTAAAAAAAATAAAAATCAAATAAATAAAATTGAAAATAAAAAATAATTTTAAACAAATAAATAAAATAAAATAAGGAAGAGAATGGGAAGAACAGAATTCCTATACTATTCAATGTAATTTCAGGTGCTTTTATCTGATTTTTTTTTTATGTAGTAAAAAGGCTATCTGGCATTATTCAATTTGTATTTATTTTGATTCGAAAACAAGTCTAAGATTCCCATCGCTATTTAGCTATACCAATAATCAGTTCCTGTGTATTACTAGGTGCAGGATCAGGAAAGCGGAAATAAAAAAATTTTGAAAATTTTATTTATAGGCAAGAAATTTAGTTTATTTGCAAAAAAAAATTGTAAATTTAGAAAGTTTTGAAGATTTTAGTGTAAAAAGCGTGATAATTTAGAAAAAAAAATCTTTTTTCATTTTAGAATTTTTTATAATTTACAAAAATTTACATTCTCAGATTCCCAGACTCCCGCGTGCGTGTGACACAAGAAATTTGATGATCACAGTAATTTGAAAAGCACGATAAACCATATTGAAGAATAATTTATTCATCTTTAATACGGAAAAGTTGATTATTTGGCCGGATCTTATTTGCGATCATTGTAGTATTAGGCATTGTTTGTATTGTTTATGGCCTATTGAAATCCTCACGTAAGCGCGACTACACCAAAATTGCACCATGATTTTAAAATTTTGTTTAAAACAATTAACAATATGAAGGGATTATTTAACTGTGTTAATGTGATAATAAATGGCGATGATACTGAGTCTACTAAAATTCAAATATACCCTTATACCTTTGATTATGAACTCTAACCACTCCTAACTTAACTCTAAACAAATAAGATATTGTCATGCAACGATTAACATCATGAAATTTGACCAATCTAGCGCACCCAAAAAATCAGTAATGTACCAAAATTTAAAAAAAATTAAACATTAGCACTTAGATAATGATAGATTGACTGACCACAAACCAGACGTTGCCCAAAATACCAATTACATTTAAAACAATTCTGACAATGTAAAACGCTAATATCTGTAATTTCCATGTGATTTGCATCATATTGACATACCACAATGTGTACGGATTTACTAATTCCCCCCACCACACAGATGAAAATTATATCACTCATTGAACGAAATGTAGTCATCGTATAAGCGGCCCGTCAAAATTTTTTTTTGCATGAATTTCAATTAAAAAAAATTTTTTTTTGCGAATGTTCTTTTAATCATTTAATACTAACATTTGATAATTCTTAAATTTAGCAGCTTCAATAAATAACATCATGCAATCGATTAAAGAATCCTTTTATTAATTGTTATTACGTGAAATAACAAACATAACATAATTGCCAAATTTGTATTTTTTGTTTAACATGTTGATTTTGGTTATTACTAATATTTCAATATTGATGAAGATGTAGACATGGATATTAACAATAATGAGCTAGATATTGATAACATGCTTGATTCCATTTTAGATGCATCAGATAGTACTAATCAAGTGTGAGAGGCTGTAAATAATGATACAGAAGAAATATCAGAAGAAAACTTATCAATTTCTGATAAATAATATATTAAATAAACTAGGAATCAAGAACTGATATAAGTTTGGAGCATTATATTAAATAAACTATTATATTTTAAAAAATATTCTAAAGTATATAAATAAATTATCTAAACAATTGTTTATATCAACCAATCATACCGTATAATCTAAAATAATGCCCAAGAGTGTAATTTCAATTTTTGACCTAAATTAAGCTTAATTCTGGCCAAAATCTAAATAAAGCACCTGGGTGTTATTTCAGATTTATATAATATGAATGATTTACTATAAGCTTATAAAAAAATATTTCTATGATTGGCTAATTTTGTAGATCTATCTATAATAATTAACTAATTAAATTAAATAATTTTTAAAAGAATTTCTTGTTTTAATATTATTAAAAACAAAAAAAACTTCATATAAAAAAGCTTATATATTAATAAATTTATACAAAAAGAATTTATTATATAAATACAAAAAGAATTTATTATATAAATGTAATATTTATTATTAATAAATTCTAATTTAGTAAAGAATCTACAAAACACAAATGAATCTTTAATTTTTAGTTGACAAGCCCAAATATATTATGCAAACTAACTAAATTTAAATATTAAATCTGGATTTTTTATTATTAAAGAGTTGGATCTATTTAACTTAAACAGTTAGTAATAAGAATTTATTTACTATATTATTGCAAAATAACATACAGTAGTAAAATTACAAATTTTGTCTAAATTAAGCTTAATTTGGGTAAATCTTGAAATAACACCTATATATAATAATATAGTAAATTTAATGTAATAATAAGGGTTTTGAACAAAATATTTCTAGTTATATTTACTCTATAATATAATTTTATATAGTCTAATACAGTTGTCTATCATATTAATGTAGACACTTTTTAAAATTTTATATAAAGCTAAATAAACAAGATATTAAGCTAAAAATAAAATTATAAATTCTTTAAATCTATAGCTTTTAAATAAAAAAAGATTATAAAATTTAATGCAGTACTTTTTAAGATATTTAAGTTTAAGTAAAAATTTAGATTTTTCTATTTGTACG